ACGGAAGTTTCCTTGGACAGCTGTGCACATTATTTTAATATAATGGATACAAATCGCAGAAAGTTTACTTCGAGGCTTCGCAGAGACTTTTAAACAGGCTGTTGTTGGATCCGTCCTCTGGGTCTGAGTCTGCAGAGATACGGGGGGGATCAGTCTTTCTCTCTTCCCACAAAATGTAAGACTCATGTGCCCTTGAGCAAGGCCCTTTTCTCATCTACTGAAACCTCTCAGGGGTAAATCCTAACACTTTCTTGCAACTCCTCCACAGCTTATGTTGAGCTGTGCAGTTTTTTGGAGGTATCAGCGACCCACAAAGGTGCAGGTTTTGTATTCCAACCTCGACTAAACGCATCTCAACACAGGTACAGTATGTCGGTACCGTCAAAGAGCTGCTGGGTCCAGAACAGCCTCTGGCATCACCCACACACAAGCTAAAGTTAGCTGACGTAGGACTCCTCGTCCAAACTAAATCCTTATAAATAAATGAATCGGGAGTGTTCTCACCCAGCGTCTCCTTTTAGCCTCGTTTAGCTCGGATAACCCCCCCCCCCCTTGTATACAACCCGCCCAGCATCAAATGGCAGACAGACGTAGTGAACAGCTGAAGAGATATTTCCTTTAGGTTGCAGAGGACCGATGTTTGATTATGATTGATCAGGTAGACAGACATGCCTCTAAATGCGTATGTTGTCTGCTATCTGTGTAGGGAGGCAATTGTTTGTTTTGTGATAATAAGGAGATAATAAATCAGAGCAGCGTGTCTGTAAGCAGCCGTGAAAACCACATCAACACGTACCACACTTATGATATGATATATGATATAGTCTGGTGATGTGTGTTTCTTACTGTCAATGAAAGAACAATGAATTGATCCCACTGACAACTTTTGTTTGTATATCGAAGCCTCCATCAGATACACATCTGTGAGCCACACAGCTGCCCTGTGCAACGTATCCTCACAACGGTTCATATGTGAGACCTTCCAAAAAGTAAGTTTATTATGTTTTGAGGGATATAAGTGTGTTGGTGCGAGCCCCTGCAGCACAGAACCATGCTGGCAACAAAAACTAAGGTTTAAGGAAAAGATCGTAGACATAGACTGCACATCAGAAGTGGACGTAGCGGTCGTGATGTCACCCGTTGGTCTGTGGACTGTAGGAGCATTTTCTCATAGACTTCCATACAATCACACTTCTTTTTGCAACTAGAGGAGTTGCCCCCTGCTGGTCAGTAGAGAGAATGCAGGTGCTAAAAAGATGCTCGGTGCTCAAACACAGTTGATGGATGAAGTTTCCCTGATGTTGAATTTTTTAATGCCAGAGAATTCGTTTTGTTGCTGCTGTTAATGCAATATTTAAAAAATGTTTTTGTTTTGTTGCTTCTCATGTTTTTACTCTGGTAGTAAATGGGTTACAACTGCGTTTGGTGTGTTGCATTATGACAGTGAATTATCCGTGAATCCTTGAATCCATCTGGTCGTCAGCTCTCTCTGCTCTCACCTGTCAGCAATCTACTCATCAACTCCACAGTTACATCAACCCCGGCTTTCCTCCCAGCGCTCTTATTATCTCATCCACTCAGGCTAAACCTAGTGCGGTAACTTCCTTGTATCCTTGTAAACTACTCATTTGAGTCTGTTTCCTGTTGGATTCCTGTCCGGCCGCCATCTCTCACCTCCTTAAACTTAATTCTTCTACTCTAGGCCTACTACATTTATTTATATATTCCTAATTACTTTGAAGATTCAGATCAAAATACAAATAATTGTCAATAAACTATGTGATCTGTTACTTCAGTTATAAAGTAATTAAATTGAGCTCCACATTTTCCAGCTGCACCATTAAAGTGACAAACACATGAATGCATCACTAATTATAATCCAATACTATAACTTATATTATTCTGAATTAGGCCATGTTGCATAATGAAAGAATGATTTTACTTTACTGTACTCTACTTTGTGTATATGTTGATACTAATTAATTTGCAGAATACTTGTAGCAGAGTAATTCTTCACAAGCCGAGCGACATCTAGTCCCATTATGTTGGAGAGAAGTCAGATAAGTCTAACACACCAAAACAATCCAGATCGATAAATAGCACTACAGGTACGAGGAGAAATATGTTTTTGATTTTGGAGTTAACTGTCAGTAAAAGTAAAATGTCTGAGTACTTCTTCTTCCTCTGCTTTTATTCTTTGAGTTCATTTAAGGTTTTCTAAACTTCTAAAGCAAACAGACTTACAGTTTTTGTGATTGTCTTACTTTGCTTGTTAGCAAATGTTAGCATGTTTACAGCTAAACCAGGATGGTGAACATTACCTGGAACCAGGCGGCAACCTCCGGTTCTGCTGAGTGAAGCCGATGCTGAAGAGTCTCTTGAACCTGCATTCTCTCTAGTGACCATCAGGGGGCGACTCCTCTGGTTGTATAGAAGTCTATGAGAAAATGACTCTCCTTCTCTCTTGATTTATTACCTCAGTAAACATTGTAAACATGAGTTTATGGTCTCAATCTCTAGTTTCAAGTCTTCTTCAATACAGCATGATGTTCATTTATTACATTATGGTCCATTTAGAGTCAAACAGACCATAAAGCAGGGGATGCTTTAGGGCGGGCTTACTGTGATTGACCAGAGCCGTATACGGCGTCACAACGTCACTCCTTCGCATTCCAACTATGCTAACTCCTTTTCAGAGGTTGCAAACAGTCAAGATGGCGATGACCAAATCGCCGCTGAGATTTGTCCGTGTTTCTGTCTCACAGCTTTAACTCTTTCACAGTGTTCATCAGTTCATGGAAGTTAATTGTAACATTTTTGTTCGCCTTAATATCCTGTTGTATTTAGCGTCCGGTTGTACTCAGCTCAACCCTCTCGTCTCACTTCTGGTTACAAAACAAAACCCAACATGGCGACGGACAAAAAACAAGATGGCTACAGCCAAAATGCCTAACTTGAGGCTTCATAACGGCAGTCCACAAACCAATGTGTCTATTTCTGGAACACATCAGTTGGATTTTAACACTTAACCTGAGCTCTTAGTAAACTACTATCAGTTACAAGAATAGCGCATACTGGTTGTTTCCATGCTGTTTAGCATAAATATACAGCACAATTCTTTTTATTTAATTTCTTTCTTCTGATAGCGAGTCAAACCCCGAACTCACTCGGTGGTGACGTGTGAATTTTTATTATTCACGCCGACCCGAAGCCTCGAATGCTCTTTAGTTTGGATAAACAGCTCTGAACAACACGCCCGGAGTGAACCCCCCCTGAGTGCAGCTTGTTGATGTTTATCCAGCTCGGCAGCGAGTACAGTGGGAAGAAATTACTGTATGAATATAAATAAATATATCTGCAGTGTGCCTACGGGCTGTGGCATCATGGGATTACTTCCCCGGCCTGGATTCATGTCGCGTGGGCTTTCTGTGATGTGTGGTTTGCAGAGGTCTCCAGCCAGTGAAGCTGTCATAAGAGGCGTGTGAGGGTCACAGCGTGCATGTGCTGTGTTCACTGTAAGTCGCCGCGTTGCAGGCGAAGCTCCGGTTCTTCTGCCTACATGACATCGCTCGGTGCCAGGCGGCTAAATTAAGAGCATCAGTGAGCCTGATGAAATAAAAAGAGATGAAGGTTTGTCAGTCTCTCTCCACTCATCTCAGGTTAAATGGGAATCGATTGACGATCAGTGAAAAGTTGATTCTGTCTCTTTTAGCAGCTTTCTTTCATTTGCTCTCAATCTAATCCTCCCCTCAAGTCTCCTCTTTTTCTTTCCTTCTCTCCTCTTTTGTAGCCTCTTTTTCTCCTCTCTCCATTTTTCTTTCTTCTCTCCTGTATCATTGTATTCCTCTCCCTTTCTTGTCCTCTCCTGTTCCTTGTTTCCTCTCTTGTCTTGTCCTCTTTTTCCTTTCCTATCCCCACTGCCTCCTCTCCTCTCTTCTTTTTATTTTCCTTTCCTCTTTCTTTTCATTTTTATCTATTGTTTCCTCCTGTCTTTCTTATCCTTTCCGTGTAACCTGTTTACCTTTTGTTTCCGCTTCTCTATCATTGTTTCCTCTCTTCTTCTGTCCTATTTTTCCTTTCCTCTTTTGTCTCCTCTCTACTTTGTCTTTCCTCTATCATTGTTTCCTCTCCTCTCTTTCCTAACCTCTCCTCGTGTCTTGCATTTCTTTTCCTCTTTCCTCTCCTCTACACTTGTTTCCTCCCCTCCCCTCTTCTTTCCATGTCCTGTCTTGTTTTCTTTCTTTCCTTTTCTCTCGCCTTTCCTGTCCTCTCTTCCATTCTCTTCTCCTCTCTTCATCCCTCCCCTCTCTCCTCATGTCCTGCTATCTCCTTTTCCTCCCCTCGATACCTCTTTGCTTGTTTCATCTCCTCTTTTTCTTCTCCTCTCCTCTACCCTTGTTCCTTCTCCTCTTCCACCATCCTCGTAGACTCTCCTCTCTTTCGCTCTGTCCTCCTTTCATCCCTCCTCTTCACCCTGTCTTCTCCAATCTTCTCCTGTCTCATTTTCCCCTTTTCTCTATCTTCACCTCTCCTCTTTTTAATCTCTTCTTGTCTTCTTTGTATTTACCTCTAACTCCCTCCCTCCCCCTGCTGATCTCCTCTTATTCCCTATCCTCTCCTCTCTTTCTTTTCATTTACTTTCCTCTTGTCGTCCCTGTATCTCTCCTCCCACTCTCTCGCGTTGTGCCCTCCTCTTCTTCATTTCTCATTGCATTCATCCTCTTGTTTTTCTGTCCTCCTCTCCTCTTCTCACCCCTACATCTCCTTGTATTCTTTTTCCTTCTTTCCTCTCATTCTCTTCCTCCCACTCTTTCTCGTAGTGCCCTCCTCTCCTGTCTCATACCTTTCTCTCATCTCCCCCTTCATCCACCTCTCCTCCCTTCTCTCCCTCTCTCTCTCTCTTTCCTTCCTTATTTTCTTGGCCTTTTTCTTTCCTCTCAAATCCTCTTCTTCTCCTTTCAAGCATCAATTCTTCTCTCCTCTTCGTGCATTTCCTACTCTTTCCTTTCATCTCTCATCTCTAGCCTCCCTCTCTCTCTTCCTCCTCCTCCTCCTCTCTTCTCCAGCAGTGGAGGATCAGTGAACAGCAGCGGCGGCAGCAGCAGTGTCACTCAGCACGGCAACGACACGCATGAAAGTGAGGACGTCTTGTTTTTTTTGGTTTTCTGTTCTGTTCTCCTCTTCGTCCTCCTCTTCTTCCCATTCAGTCTTTTTCTTTTCGGCTGTTTCTTCGCTACTTTTCAATCCCTTCTTTCTGCCACATTGATCTCTTTCGGAGTGCAGCAGTATGAGGCTACCATGCATTCCAAATAGGGTTTCTGTTCTTGCTCCAACTTGCGCATGCACATGCTTTTCTATTTTTTTTGTCTCGCTTTATTTCCTTGCATCTCATTGGGAATAAGTAGGCGAGTCTTGTAGCTTTAGTGTGTCAACCTCTGGGCTCAGATGGGCTTTTAAATGGACATTTTAAAAGGTATGACTTTTTTTTTTTTTAATCCTAACTTAAATCCTGCAAATCCTGCTTTTGTTGCAGCAGGAACGCTGAGCGGTATGTTTTTAGATCAAATATGATATGAAATACTGACCACAGCTGTGACTTCTGAAAGGATTTTAAGACATGCATGTGCGTTTTTCTTATTTGAGAGATTTAAAATCTGATATTTTGAAGCCGGTGAAGGATGTTATTTGATGGTTTTATTCTGTAAACAAAGAGACATCTTTTTTTTGGCAGATTGTTTCACTGGCTTTGCTCTCCCTTTGTTTTTCTCTCATTCCTCTTCTCATTTTTGTACTTTCTGTCATTTTTTCACTGGCTGGCATGAAGATAATCTGTCCGCAGTGAACGCACTGGAGTCCAAACAGAAAATGGGGATATCATAACGCCAGACATTTAACCAGGATGGACCTATCGGATGTATTCACTGCCACAACGCCGGCCACTTCATCACCAAACTCTTCTTTGGAGAGCGTCAACCAGACCTCCTCTTCCTCGCCGAGATCTCCTCCTCTACCTCCTCACTCGCAGGTGGCGTCGGTGCTCATCGTGCTGGTGGTCACGGTCATCATACTGGGCACCGTGGTGGGTAACGTGCTGGTCGTGGTGGCGGTTTTCACCAGCCGAGCCCTGAGGCCCCCTCAAAACCTCTTCCTGGTGTCTCTGGCTTCAGCGGACATACTGGTGGCGACGCTGGTCATCCCCTTCTCATTGGCCAACGAGGTGAGGAAACAGACTCTTTGCCCTATGACTCCATTTTGCAGCTGATATTCACAAAGCAATCTGCAACGACAATTCGTGAAATAGTTACACAGACACAAATTGTCTGTTTTATGTGTCGCTCAGAAAATGACTTCTTTTTTGGCACATTACGTTACAAAACAAAAGTTAAGTTTCGACAACAAATATGAACATTAGGTTTAGGCAACAAAGCCGCTTAGTAAGGTCTTGAACGTTGATAGTGGTTCTTGTGGTTGATATTTCTGGATACCGTAAGTGGTCTTTGTCTTTGTCACTTGCTCCGACCGTTGCATCGATCCGTGGATGCGTTTCATTTGTGTGTCCATCACGAAAAAAAGAATCCTAATTGACTTTACATTGACATTTAGTCCTGAGCGACACACAAAAAAACCCGGACAATATGTGTTCCGGTACAAAAATGCAACCATAGACTATTTTATGACTTGGCATAATATTGGGCTGATCCATCAGTCATGAGACAAAAACCATAACCCTGCTGGTGGTGCTACAGGAAAAGTCAGAGGATCCCCAAAATCTTTAGGATTCATCCTCTGGGGCCCATTAATATCAGTGCTAAATTTCAATCCATCCAAGAAAATGTCAGCCCAATGGTAAAAAGTCAGTAGGCTTCATTTCATGACCTTTCATCCAATAGTTGATATATTCAGTCTGGAACAAACTGGTGGACCGACTGAGCCACACAGCTAGCATCGCTAATAATCCATCCAACAATTTAACACGTCACCCAACGCCACGTCTTCCTGCTGCAGCTCTTCTTCTGCAAAGAAAAAATAAGTAGGATTCACGTAGGACCTGTAATCTACATATTTCTAATACAAACACAATGGCAAAAAAACAAGAAAGCTTATTAATGGCATGTTTCAATGCAAAACCCATTATTAGATATCATTGTCTATACAACATTAGCAGATACAGTTCAGAAGTTAACACAAGGTGACGTTGAAGTGATGCATGGGCTTCTGGTGTTGGTTTGAGTTTGTTAGACGATTCTGATGTTGGCAAGTAAAAATTGTGCTTCATACACACTGACATCTTTGTACTTTGGCTGCAGGTGATGAAATTTGTACATTTTAGAAAGTTCAGACAGGACTACACCACCCTCAAACCCAGGCGAGAACCTCTTAAAAGTGAAGCCAATGCTTCATGTGTTAAAGCTGCATTCTCTCTGGTGACCACCAGGGGGCGACTCCTCTGGTTGTATAGAAGTCTATGAGAAAAT